GCCTTGTTGTGAAGTGCTGAAGAAGAACTTGCTGGTTGCTTTGTCCTGTGATTTTAGTATACAGAAGTTGGCATTTTGTGAGTAGTTATTTAATAATACACTTTCTAAAAAAAGCTTTTTTTTTAAAAAACAAGACCACACCAAAGATAAGGAGCAGAAACGATGTTAATAATATGAATACAAAACACGAGAAATAAAAGTTCAATCATTTCTGAAAGCTTCACAAATGAAAATATTTTTTAAAAGCTTTGAAAGGAGATGGAGGTGTTGGTGTTTTGATTGTAGAGAGTTCTATAGTGTGGGGGATCTAATAGCGAAAAGCCCGATCACCCTTTGTAGGCCTCCATCTGCAGATCTTAAAGAGGCCCTTTAATGCTCTTTGGGGTTTTCCCTTTCCTGTAGTGTGGTGTATATAGGTTTGTGTGCATGTAAATGGTCAAAGTGTAAAGTCCAAAAGTTCCCTCCAGAGACAGTTTCTCTCCCACACTCAATGTTCTACTTCTGTAACATAAGAACATCACTATGTAACACTCTCTTCTATTAGCCCTCAAACACATTGTACGTGATAGGCTAAGGGGTGGCGGTGGCACATCTTTTAGCAGTTGACCAATCACAATAGAGCCGGCCAACTAACCATTCAGAGCAGACTGGGCTCTGGTTTTGACCAAGGATGAAAGGAGGTGTTGCAGCACAGGCAGTATGAGAAAAATAAAGAGCTTTTTGAAAATTAAAGCATGGAAACATGTCACAGGAGAGGCACTAAATACAAATATGAACCTGAAAATGAGCATAATAGGGCCCCTTTTAATAATCTTACTTTTGAAGTTTGTATTCTGATATTTGGATATGGATTAAAACATTTTCAATGAATTCATGCCTACGTGACACGTATTATAGCCCCATGCCAAGAATGGGGAGATGAGGCCTTCAAAGCAGAAAAGGTATTTGTAACATCTCATAGAGGGTGAATAACTCTGATGATGTGATGTATTCAAGAGAAATTTGAAACATTATTCATGTGTTATAATTTAAGAGGTTCTGTACCAAACAAAGTTGTTTTGTTAAGTTTTGTTGGCAAGCATATCTGTACAGCTATACAACACTTAATGAATGTTCAAATCAATGTAATAAATGGGTACAGCCTCACAGGCGGTCAAGCATGGCATTTTGTAGTTATTTCCACTTGTAGCAATCAACATTACAACACTTACAAAAGTCCTTCTTCACCCAAGAATAAAACCCATAGTGTTGGAGGTTGTGTGAAGCGTTTGTGTTGTGCATTTGCTTTCTTCTTCTTCTTTTGTATTTTGTTGAAGGTCTGTATGTGTTTTTGTTCGTGGGTGTAGTAATAAGCAGGTGTTGGCTAAGATATCTCAGCTTCTTGTGCTCCCACTGTGCTTGTCACTTCTCATCCATCCATGTGCAGAAACTCCAGTCTACAGACCATGAACCGTGTTCAGTGTGAGCATGCTCAGTGCGGGGGCTCGGGAGACTTAGAAATCCAAAGTGTAGGAGGCGATGCGTTGCTGCTGCCTGCAACCAGCATGAGTTTACACTGTCAGCAAAACCTGGCCTGAGGAGATGGAAATTCAATGGCTTTATGTACCAAGATAATGCAAATGAATTAAGGAAGTCTAAAAGCAAGCAAGTCAATATCATTGAAAGTGTGTTATGTCTAAAACATCTCTTTCTTCTCCTTGTTTATTCTACTCAAGGAATAGGCTTCACTATGGCAACAATACAGCATGCTCCCCAAGGTCATATTTAATAACGTTTTTTTATTAATACCTCCATATCACCATGGACACTGGTATTTTCTTTGGAACTGAAAATGTTCTTCTCTTCCTCTGCGCCTCCGTTTAGCTTTTTTAGCGATGTTGATCACACATGTCAGGGTATTGCTGCCAACATGATTTTAAGTTTAACACATGTGAAAACATCACGTATTTGATGCTGCTAATCAGTCCCAGAAACATGTTTTTAAGGGATGTTAATCGTGTGTGTGGGTGGCACATGTAGCCATTTTATTAAATGCTACAAGATATGGTTTGTACAGGCTCTTGGTCATGCTTGTGATGAGGGGCATATTTCCTTGACAGTGCCATGGAGGGAAGAGATCAGAAGCACACAGACATGAAACCAGTGAATCATGTGTTTTGGCATCGCTACGCCTGCTAATGGTCTCCAGGGGGCAGACATGGTAACAGTGGGTGAGCAAATGAGTAACGGGTACGTTTTTGTTGTTTTTACAAAGTTAAAGAGGCCCTACTTAACACTATTATGTAGTGTGTTATAGGTTTTTGTGCATGTAAATGGTCTCCAAAGGCTAAAATCCCAAAGTTCCCTCGAGGTGGAGTTTTCTCTCCCACGCCTCCATTGAACTCCTTTGTTTACTTCTTCAAAATAATGACATCACTATGTAATGTATGCTTATAGATGTGCAACTATGTAATAGTTGCACTTCTATAAGCTAGCGCTCCAACACCTTGAACATAGGCTAAGGGGTGGGACATCTCTAAGCGGTTGACCAATCACAACAGAGCTGGATATCTCAAGGATTGTTCAGTTTGAGGTTCTTTACTGATGATGTTTCTTTATATTTCATCTCCACATACATGCACGCCAGCTTTGAAATGCAATGCTTTTCTAAGGATCAAACCAAAAGCTCAGTGATGTCTCGCCCCTTAACCCTATCACGTAGAAACTGGTTGCATTGCTAGCCAATAGAAGCGCGAGTGTTGCATTGTCATGTCACTATGTTAAGAAAGAAAACAGAGGAGTCCAATAGAGGTTTCAGGCACAGAGGGAGTGTGTGGGAGAGAAACTCACTTTTGGATTTTAGCTTTTGCAGACCATTTACATGCACAGATATACTATAACACACTAAAGGGAAAGTAAATCACCCAAAAAGCATAATAGGGCCCCTTTAACTTTGTATTACAAAGAAGAAGGAAAAACCTACCCGCTGCCATTCTCATTTGCTCACCCGCCCACTCAGTGTAACCATGTCTCCCCCCTGGAGACCATTAGCAGGCGTTGCGATGTCAAAAAACCCATGACTCAGTGGTTTCATGTCTGCGTTCTTCTGATCTCTTCTCTCCATGGCACTCTCAAGTTATTTAGCCCCTCATCACAAGCATGACCGAGAGCGTGAACCATAGAAAAACCAAGAACCATATCATGCATTAATCAAATGGGTACATGGGCCACCCACACACACAATTTCCATCCCTTCAAAACATGGCGTTGCCTTTAAGGCAGTGGGGGGGGGAGTATGTGGGAGAGAAACTCCATTTGGAGGGGACTTTAGGATCTTAGCCTTTAGAGACCATTTACATGCACAAAAATCAGGAAAGGGAAAACCCCCAAAAGCATAATATGGCCTATTTAACCTGCTTTAAATTCATACAAATCTAATGTGACTTCCTGACCGTTTCTGTGTGCAGCATACCACCAAAAAGAGTCAATAATACATACGCTTAAAAAAAAAGCTACAAATAATTGCTTCTTGAAGGGCTGTTCATCCTTGTTAAAGCCCATTGTGACAAAGTAGGTTTAATAGGATTTTTTTATAATCACAATTTATGATTGAACTGTAATTATTAATATCCCACTCTCTTTTCGACACAGTGGCTATAGCTGTGTTGCTATTTTTACTCCTCCTCTCTGTGAGTAAAGTGCTCCTCTCCTGGGATCCAAACAGGACTTTGCGAACAAACCACCTCGAGTCACGGAAGCTAAGATCTTCCCTTTGCTGCCTTTTCCCCCCTCTAATGTATGTGTGACAGTAAGGATGGAGCAGGGCAGTGACCTTCTGAAATGTATTGGTGGCTGTGAATGTGAGGAGAAAAAAATTATAATTTATAAGCATTAAATATAGACAAGGCAGAGGATGACTGGGGGGGGAATAGAAGGAGGAAGCACTGCGTCATGCTCTCCTCAAGCATTTCCCCACTTCAGTGGAGTGAAAAACAAAACCAGCAGACTGCAGGCTTACATAACCTGTGTCAGAGTAACTTTGGGGTGGAGTAGACTCTGTGTTTACGCGCGATTAATATGAGAATTTGGCACAGACCTTTCTTGTTCCGTTTCAGCAATGATAGCTCACAGTTCAGGGGTATGCCTGATCACACCCTGTGACGGAAATGTGTGTTCTCTTTTATAATTGTACCCTTATGTTATGCCATAGCAGGTAATAATAATTGTGATGATAATAGTGATTCATATTATTGTTTTAGGCAGCATTTGTACGCCTTTTTTCCAAAGTATTACTATGAATTTATTTTATAAGAGCCATCTTGTTGCTTTTGCTAATCATTTTTTTTACTTTTTATTATAGCAAAAATAATGACTTATTATTATTATATATTTTTGTTCACGTGCTGACATTTTAATATTGCAACTGTGGCACAGTAGCACTATCTATAACACCAAACATACTTAAAGTGTTTTATAATCTGCTTATAGCACTGAACATTAATTGTTTGAAAATAAAGAAATGGGCAACATAAGTGCTAGCAAAGTTGTTGTTCTTTAATGTCGACAATACTTAGAGGAAAGTAAAAAAAGGGGTCAGAGCTGCCGTTTTTTTTACCCTAGATGACTATTTCTCCAAAAATGTACAGAGAAGCCCTAAATGTGTAATCAAGACATATCAAGAACTGACAATGTATCCCTGTATATTGTAAGAACATAGTCAAATGCTGCAAATCTTTAAATACAGCATGTGTTAACTTATCACAATGAAAAGCAGATGTTGTAATGGTTCTTAAAAAAACGAAATATTTCCCACAGGATTCTGTGCATTAGCCTTAATCCACAACCCATAAACCGCTTTTTTTACATCTTAAAAAGGAAGAAGAAAGAGCTTTCGCCAAAATGAGAGTGAGGAGGCACAACTCAGAAGGAGGGAGGGCGGGAGCGTAGACGAGGGAGGGAGGGTACAGTGGCGGCTTCTCTCTGCAGCACAGATCTGCTGAGAGCACCAGAAGCGAAGCAACTCCACAGACCACAGCCGCAGGGCTCCCACTGCAGCTCCGAGGGGAAACCTCACACAGAAACCTACACTGGAGGAAAAACTGCTACCTCACAGACAGAAGACAAGACAAAAGGAGAAGAAAAACCTATCAGAGTGGACGGAGAGAAGAGTCAGACCTTTTTATTGGAAGAAAATAACTTTCAGGGCACACCACTTTCCCCACGTTCTACTTTCGGAATCCGTTTAATAATTCAACTTCTGCCTCATTTTGTTGCGTGGAACACATTTTTGCTTTCCCAATAGTTTGACATACAGGTCTGGATTTTAATTTCCCATCAGTACTTCTTTATCTTATGCTGATGGGAAGAGTTTTTTACTGACCTGAGTGATATAGTTGAGTTAACAGGTACTCTGGTGTAACTGCGTGGAAGAGAATACACATTTTTAAGCTATACTACAAGCTTCATTTTGCATTTGAATTATTTCTTTCTTTCATACTTTTTTCTCTACAAGGATCCCCTCAAAGGACCTGAGGATGTCGCATCACAGAAACTACTGAAGCAGATTCTTCTTGCATTTAGGATCGCTCCCCAAGCTACAGCAATATCTACTGAAAGGACACTGTGGGGACACTTTCAAGCTCAAACCTTCTTTTTTTTTAGATATATCGGAGGAAAAGGTGGTTCTCTGGTGAAGCCTCTTTGCCCCGTCCGCCCCCTTCTCCACCTCAGCCTCGGGATGGCTGGGTGCACCAACCGCTGCAGGCAGGGGGTGCTCAAACTGATCCAGTCCCTGCAGAGACTCGTCTCAGGAGGCCTCACCAAAGGTATGGACGTTTTTTTACTATTATACTTATGCAGTGACTGTTAATTTTTCACCTAAATGTGCAAGTTTATTGCTTTTTTGTGCGCGTATTTGCATTGATACAATGTGTTTTTTTAGATGGTAAGCCTACACGTAGCATTCAATAAATACTCTTCTGCTGGTGTGTATGAAATCCATAAGATGTCAACTCCAACAGATACTAACCCAATTGCAGTAGTGTAAAAAACATGTACTCACTGTACTTAGGAAATAAATAAATTAAGAACCTGTGCAGTTTTCCACTTTATACTTATACATCACTTCATTTAAGAGGGAAATATTGTAAATTGTTCTCCAACACATGTATTTCATAAATTGAGTTTCTTCTCATTCTGCATACTGAGTAATTTTACTCCTAGCGTAGTTCTTTTTTAGTGTCAATAGCTTGAAAAACCTTCAATTCAAGCCTCCACTGTACCTGATTTCTCTTCCAAAAAATTTCCATTAGCGTCGCACAATTGATTTATATTTGTAGAGTTGGCAAAGATTTTGATATTCCGGTATTCAGGTTTCCTTTCCTCTTCATTGACAAGCAAATACTGTAGCCATTCAATTGGCCTTTGACACAACAGTGTCCAGGTTGTTTTTAAACTTAAAGTTAATGAACGTATTAAAGTAGGAAAAACAGCTTTTCCAACTTCCAACGAAATGGAAAGATCCGTGCAGCATGTGAATGCAGCATCGGCTTTAGTTTAGGTCTGCTCTCTCTGAGTGACATTCTAGTTCAGAGATGCAGTTGTGCTCGATGTGAGAATGCAACATAAATCCTTCATTAAATGTGTTAATAAGAGCTTTTGGTGCCAGTCAGAGAAGATGTGTGTAACTGGGCTTTTGTTTAGTTTTGGAAACTGAAATGGTGCAACATTCTATTTGCTCATGGCTGCTATTGAACCATAAGATCAGATGAACCATACAGAAAAGGAGGATTAGTTTCTGTTTGTATCTGTATTCTTTTCTCGTGGTGAACTACTCTATATGTTCACCTTTAGGGCTGAAATGAAACAGTCTTAGAAATATAATTCACTCTTCGGTTGAACAGATCCCAATTCCCCAATCCCTGCACACACTGAGGCTATAACTTTTAGAATCGGAGGGATGAAACCCCTCTTTAATGGTCACACATGCAGAGCACACAGCACACAAAGTGACATTTGGCCTCTGCTTTTAACCCATCCTAGTACCAGGAGTCTAGTACTAGGAGAAGTGGGCAGCTATTGTACAGCGCCCGGGGAGCAATGGGAGTGGGGGGGTGCCCGGTGCCTTACTCAAGGGCACCACGGCAGGGCCCAGGAGGTGAACTGGGACCTCTCCAAGTAGCAGTCCACACTCCATATTTAGGTCTGGTCGGGGACTTGAACTGGCGACCCTTCGGCTCACAGTCCAAGCCCCTACTGACTGAGCCACTGCCGGAATAAGACATTATGAATTAAACTATACTAATGTTACATCACAAAAAATGCGTTAAAAAAAACTGCTATAATTTGACTTGCATAAGAAAAAGGTTTGTTGGGTTAGCCTATGGTGTACACCCCTTAGGGCAACAGTTGCGGTGCACTATCGACCTTGTCTTCTTCTTCCTCTTTGTGTTAAAAGCACTGGCTCTCACTCTCCTCACCACCTCCATCATCGTCTAATCCAAAATTACTTTTCGCCAGAACAACAAAATAACAATCGCTGAGTCACCAAGTCAGAGTGCATTACACACTGACCTGCTCTAACTGTTATATTAGACAGTTTGAATTTTAAATATATATCATAACACTCTATCTACTATACTTTATATACGCTCGCTGTGGGCCATTAACGTAAGAGTCTCAATGCTTATTTTCAATCTTTTGAGTCTTACTACAGTATCTTACTATGACTCTTTTTCAAGCATACTGCGAGGAAGATGAGGCAAGCATTATTAATATTAATGAGTGCTTATCTTATTATACAGCACTAAGCAGATTATAATGCATTATAACTTTGTTTAAATTGCATTATATTTAGAACTTGTTACCATTATGGTCTTTGTTGTTTTCGATTTTCCTCAAGTAGCAAGCTAGTTGTAATAACTCAAGTTAATAACCAGAATCTTTTTGGCAGTTTCTACAATTTCTTTCATAAGTGTATACATATTAGGGATGGGAATTTGAAAGCAAATGTATATTCGAATATTCGACCCCCAAAAAAACGGTTAACCGAAATGTACATATCCTATAAAAAAATATATATATATGGGAATTCTTTTTACAAAAAAGAATAATAATTAATTAATTTGGAAAAATAAATAAATACATGTTCAAATAAGTATAGAAACCAAGTCGAATTTGTCAAAGGTATTGAACTGGTGATCACAGTTTGAACAGTTGACAGCTATAGGCCTACAGCTTTCATGCTTAAAACATAACTTGGTTTTTAAATGAAAGAGGGATCATACACGAACAACATAACCGGTTAGGGTAACGTAACCCATATTACAATAGAGATCAACAACCTATAACCGGGCCTATGCACAGAATGCAGCTATGCAATACTCATTCTTGTTTAAGAATATGAGCATGTCTACATGGTCAGGGGAGAGGCGGGTGCGGAGGCGATTCACAATCAGGCCAGCTGTAGAGAAGACCCTCTCAGCTGGAATTTGGGCATAAGATGAGGTTTGAGTCTGCGTGTAGGGAGGGGCAGCAGGCATATCATTAGCTAGAACTAGCTAGATCTAATACATATGCTACTTAAACTACTCTGTTTTACCTTTATCCCAACCAAACAGATACTCAAGTTGGCCCAAACTCAAACACATTTGAAGTATTTTCATATTTGTATGGTTTTTCGGATTTAAACACAAGTAAAGTTTTTGCATTATACTGGAAAAAGTACTCCTTTGATGAGAAGTAAAAGAAACCTGTTGAGATTGAAAATGTGCGTTCTAAAAGAGGTGGCTTTGTCAGCTACTGTGCTATTCTATAAATAATCCAGCCTACTTATGGCCGCTTGGGTTGATAATGTAGGTCGTGTGATGGAGCCACTGTAGTGTCTAAAAACTGAGTGACTGCGCACTACTGTCTTTAACATCTGAACAATTCCCGACCTACTTTGTAAGGAGCTTGGACTGTTTAACAATGTAAAGTAATAAAAAGAGTGGGGATTTGGAGCCCAGGTCTGTGTTTAGTGCGGCATAAGAGCAAAAGACGGAGCTTGAAACCTATTGCCCCATGCCAAAAACAGTTCCAACTTAAGAACACAAATTCCAAGATGCGTGTTATCTTGCCCTCTGCATCCTCAAAGCGGGAACAGCTGATGAATTGGAGTGTGAATTGAATTGACCATGTAGTCCCCTGACATTGTGCCTCTGGGCTTGTTTGCATGCTTCTCCTAAAATGTTTGTTATGCCCACTGAGGTGCACACTGACCTTCTGTAACTTAAGGTTGAAAGATTGCTGCATGAGTCTCTAGACCAAATACTTACTCAAACAAATGTCTAAAATTTGAATTCAACTCTCAGTGGGATTGGATATTATTTTATCATCATAACATACAGTGGGATTTGTTTACATATTGTTTTAATACGAGATCAATTATAGACGTTTTTTTTTCTTATTTATCTCCACAAGGTGTTATCTGTGTGTTACGAGGTGTAAATTATATAATATCAACTACTCATTGTGTTATCAACTAGCTTTTTTTCAGGTGGGCTCACAAACAGATTGCACCACATATGTTCCAGTTATTGTGTCCATAAATATATATTTTTTTTAAACTATAGCATAAATGAAAAGATATCCATGTGGTGTATAATTCTAGAAATGAATTTTCAATAACTATAAAATGAAATAGCAAACAGATGACTAATTTATATTTAAACAAAATCTCAATGTTTTCTGGATATTAAACTCTAAATGGGACCGTCATTTACTGAATGATAATCCCCTTCTTCACACTTACAGCACTAACATTCAAATGAACACCATGCTGTATTTAAGAAGATTTTTGAAACTTTACGACCAAACTTTTGTTTTTAAAATCTTTACTGAGGAATAAAATAAATTGATAAGTAAGTTAATTTTCTCATAGACTTCTATACAATTGGTCTTCTTTTTGCAACCAGTCTGGTCGTCCCCTGCTGGATATTGGTGAGGATCCAGTTTGAGGGATCCTCAATAATCACATTGGTATGAAATACATTTTGATTATATTCTCAACCGAAAAAGGACTAAAGCTATGTTCCTATGATGCGCGATTTTCTCTCTAACCATGAGGTCGGGCGCAGAGCCATCTGGTAGAAACGGTCAGTTAAGTTTAGTTTGTCTAGGGTTACCTCCCCCTGCTAGCTTGCATAACTACATACAACTGTCCTCTGATTAGTTGTCGAAGCGATAACAAGGTAAAAAATGAAATAGTTTGAACTGGAACGCTCCATAGAAACGGCAACGTCAGCGCAGAGCCGTTTTACCGATCGACATGAGAATGCAGTTCAAGATCTGCATTTACTGGGTAATGTTTGCAAAACCCTCATGTAAAAATGATGGATGGCATTGGTATGTAACATGGAAAACAATACATAATCTTTGAGCAAGATAAGACATTAATACAACAAAATGTAAAGAAATGATCTTACAATGCTTAAAGCACTACACTGGTCTTTAGTTTTCAGTTTTTCCTGTGGTTGTGGTTGAGTTTCTCTGCACAATTCCCTCATTATCATGTCTCACAACATAACCTCTGCTTTGCATATCTATCATATGCACATGGAAGAAGGCACACGTGAAAATAGGCACACAAATGCATAATCCGTTTCACACACACGCGATCATGTCAGGTAGCCTGAAAAATGTAAGACCCTTATCCCCTTTCTCGCTTTGTTAAACACATTTGCCTTTACACGCTTATACATATAGTGATATGAACCGTTAACTCTGCCCGCTCACCTTTACAATTCTGTACTCACAAATTCAGCAGCATGTAGATTCAGTTTTAGAC